CTTTCCTCCCCTAACGATTTTCGCTTTTATCCTTCTTGATGCCGTTTATCCTCGATTACAGAGCACACGCAGACCGTTCCTTGGGATATGATGCGGAGCTTTAAACTTTAACAGTTTAGTAATGAGAAGGAACAATAAGGTGGTGGTAGTACAAACAGCAACAAGTGACAAGGGCGCCCTATTGCATGCATTTATTAAGTCACCTATCAACAAAGACAAAAAACTGCTGAGCTCTTCAAAGTAGTTCAAGCACAGCATGATGATAAGGCGATCAAAAAAGTGGATGCTTTGAAAGTCTCATGTAATTTAGGTGATTCAGCCAGCCCACGACCTCAGCACCCCTTACCATGAACTTTCCGCATCTCGAAGACCTCGCTGATTTTGAAGTGTCCACCTGTCTTGAGACGGCACAAGGGATGTATGATTCTTATGGCGACGGCAAGCACAACAACTTACGAACATATGAAACTTCAGAAAGTTAGTTCCCAATGAATACAAACAGAGCTTCCCAAGGGAGTACTTACGCACTACCCGCAGTCCTAGTAGGAATTTAATCACTGAATGTAAAATGAAAAAAACTTTTCTAAGGTAATTCATGTGTACTACCTATATGTTAATTCGGTACCAATCAAAAGAGTCCAGACACTTAAGAGCATAACAGGAAGTCTTCGAATTATGCGACCGTTAAATGGTAGTGCTACTGAGTGTTATATGCTCCTCATGAAACTTAAACACATTTGAGGTTCAAAAGATGCAATAAACAAATAAGTAAATCGGTGCTAGAAAGGACCTCTACCTATGTGTGCTTAAAACAACGTGATGCTTGACTTTCCATAAGAAAAGTCACGTTAATTCTCCCTCCTACTTTTGAATGAAGACGGTAAATAGTATGATCAGTGCCCTTGAAGGAGAAGTGAAGAAATAGCGGAATGTCATAAAACGCGCCCGATAACAAGGCAAGCAACCTGCCTCAAAAGTGACACCGTTAGCTAACTGCCTTCCAACCCCACGGAGATCAAGACGAACGGCAGTGGAGTTACCCGCCCTTGGAGGTACTAAATGACGCTGCCCCTCCTGTGTCGTTACTTTCGAGGTGCCGGAGGTGGTAATTGTGGCAGCACCGCCAGCACCCGGCGCATCTGTTGGAATTAGAAGCAGAGGCATAGGCTAGTTAACATGCCCATCAGAATTGGGAACAATCGAATATGACACCTAGCTAATGGGGAATTCGGATTAAGGATTCTAAATTCTAAATTTTTGCGTATTTTCATCGTATAAAAACTTTAATTAATCTAAATACTTGTTTGGCCCAGTTTAGACGCATAAATATGAATCTACTTATCGCAGTCAGGTCTACAAATGAAAGTGGGTGCTTACTTCAGCATATCAATTCAAAAAAAAACATGATTTCCAACTTCAGTGGCGTCAGCTTCCCTACCCACAAGCATCACCCACT